CTCTGGCGTGCAATGTCCACTAGAGCACCTTCGAAGCAGGCCCAATACATACCACATTTGAACGCGTGTAAAGGTTTATCCCTTGTTTCCTGTTTAAGTGTGGTTTTCAGTTCCTTATAAAGTCTATTTCATATCTATACTACTCTCTAAAATCTAAAATTTTATTATTATTATTATTTTTTTTACAAAATAGGAGTAGATATGTTCACCTATCGTCTGGTTCCCACTCCTTCCTATACCTTTCTACAGGAATAAAAGTTTATTCCATATTTCCTGTTTAGGATGGCATTTCCTGTTCCCTTTAAAGTCTTATTCTTTTTTCAATCCCAGGAACTCCTTCCGTCTTTGTGGCAGTATTGCCTTGCATGGAGTGACTAGATTTTTTAAAAACATCGGCTGACTGTTCTTGTGAAATTGGATATGAAATTTTGGATGCAGAATCAAGATACAAATATACAAAAGAATTATGACCACTATTAAACGCGTATGATAATTTCTGATTAAACAAATTGTGCTCAAGAATAGGATGGATGTTGGATTTAACGGCATGTCAACTCCTATTCAAGAATAGGGCAAGAAACGAAACCCATATTTCAAGGTATAAATTCCCAATTTTCTTTTTAAAAAATTAAAATAGCTTGCAGTTGTTAGACAAAAACAGTTTCTCTACTAATATACGACTGATAACGTAACCGTGTTTGAATATATAGTTTTTTTCGTCGATAAGTTAACAATGAAGTCTATCTGAAAAAATAAAAAAAATAACTGTTTTGGTGCATTTTATTCATTTGTTAGATTCTTCTAGGAATTAGTCATATGTTTAGAGCTGTCTTAGCATGAATTATATGCATAATGTATTGCCGACTTTCTCAGTAAATGATTTGGGGAATGCTGTTGTGTTACAATAATGTCTCTCCCGTTTGTAAAGCATCAATCAAAATACAATAAATGTTATAAGACAGAGACTCTCTCCCATCTCTGAAGCAACAATCTTCTTGGGGGCTTATCAAAATATACCCGGACAAATTTCCATTTATTGGCAACATTGATTTTCGCCCTCTACCTACCAGATTAAGATATTCAGAACTTAGAATAAACAGCGAGTTGATTTTGATTTCTATTACACTGCCACAATCAAACTATCAATACATTTCGTCGGAGATAAGCAAATTTTGAAAGCGTCTATGAATACTGATTGGAGAATATATATGTGTGTGTGTGTTTGTGTGTGTGTAAGTATGTATGTGTGCGTGCGTGCGTGCGTGCGTGCGTGCGTGTGGTGTATACTTTTGAAATCTCCCAGATAAGAAATGCTTGCAATTCCACACGTAAAGAAAACTACTTTTGAATAAATATCTCCTGTCGATTCTTCTGTGATATATCTATATAACACACAATATCTGTTTGTATACAACATTTAATCATTGCTACACTAGAATTATCGCCCTTTGTACCGGTGTCAGTTGGGCACAGTCTATCAGAGCACCATGATCCAATTCACTCGGTCAAAAATTTTGAAACGGCATGATTTACTGCTTGGTATTCGCACCAGAAGCCCAAATACGAACATTTCCGCGTATTTGGATATCAATCTGAGAACAGTGTAGAGGATTCGGAAAAAACTTGATTAGTCTGATGGTGATTAGTATGGCAGCTCAAAAACTCGACCTGAATATTCTGATAAGAAATGAACCCCCGAATTTGATTGCGAGGGACTCAGACCAAACACAGTGGCCTACATCAAGTGCCTTGAGGAGGTAGTGCTGACCTAGATCAAGAGGGTGGCTGCTAGGAAATCCTATATCTGGAAAATGGACTCAGCACCATGCTACACAAGCAGGAGAACCCTGACATGGCCGTCAGACTATTTCTGCTACCTAACTCCTCAGACTGCAACCACACTTGATTATTATGTGTGGGGCGCAGTTAAGGGAGATAGTAGCAAAACTCCCTGTAACACCAAAGATGAACAGACGCCCTGTGGTAGTATCGTAACTACAAACTATACTAATATGTTTACGGGACCGGCAGATGAAAAGTGGGACTGTGTTATAGCAGAGTACAACAGTAATAATTGAAATAAAACCACATGAAGCTCACGTATACTCAAGTCATGGGACAAGGTGGCTCGATTTGTTTTATTCGACTTTATGTCCTATGAGCATACACTTCAGAACTTATCTTCGATTCGGCACCTCGATTGGCAACTAGTCTAGGAAATAAATTAAAACCGTAGAGAAATCGACAGGAAAACATTCTACTCTCTTTCTCCCAAGAACTCCTGAAATTTACTAATATCAAAAGAAACTGTGGAGGGCCATGTTCACTAACATTGTAATAAGACGGGAAATTATGATTCAGCAAAAACGATGCTCTTTGGTTAACGCACTCGATTCAGAAATTCTATCTTTTAGGAAAAATATATTTCCGTTGTCATGTAATGACAACGGAAATATATTTTTCCTAAACGTGATTATACAGTTAAGAAAATGGAACTTTAAGATGTGAAGAATGTTAAGAGGTTACATTAGAAAAAGACTTACAAATGATGGGAAGAATACAGTTTAATGAGTTGATCGAGTTAATATTCTAAAGAAAAACTTTAATTTTAAAATTTTCTTAGAATCTTCAATTTAATACTTAATTTCATTCCTTTCTAAATGTTCTACGCTATTGAAAGTTTGTTTTTTTATACTAAAGTTCACCCAATAGTAGGCTAAAGAGCCACTCATGGTAGAGGATTCCTGAATGAAATGTTTGATCTCAAAGCAAACGGAATTCAAAGGTAGTAGAACTTATGAGGATAAGGGGATAGATTTTTTTTAAGCATATCACCCCAAGAAAGGCGGGAGTGCCACTAACACGCAAGGGGTTACAGAGAATGAGAGCAAGAGTAAAGAGGTGTGTTTGGGGAAGGGTAAAGAGAAAGACGGGAAACAAGATCAAGGCATCAAAAGATGTTGATTGACATTACATTTGAATATTTGAAGATTATGGCTATCAGGGAAGCAAGTAACAGGAAAGGAGTTCCACTGACGGGAAATGCGAGATAAAAAGCTTTTGGAGTAGAAGAGATGGTTACATTTAAATGATTCGACAATGAAAGAGGGGACAGAGATGCCAAACAAATTCATGCAGTTTGGGAACCACTGAAAGTAGCTCGACAAAGTAACTGCCATGAAAAAACTTGTAGAAAAGACAGAGGGAAACCATGACACGTCTGTGAGAAAGTGACTGTAGTCGAGATGCCAGATCAGAACCTATCACATTGCATATCCGTCTTTGGATTTTGTTGAGGACCTCGAGATGAACAGCGAAAGAACCATACCATATATGGCATCAGTATTCAATGCAAAGACGAATGATTGATTTGTAGATTTGAAGGTTAGACTCGGGCGAGGAAACCCTTATGGCGCGACTCGGAACCAACATTCCTTGCGGGAAATGAGGCTACTGATCCAATGTACTTGTTCCACCTCAGGCCAGTGGAAAGTGTGAGACCAAGCAGATTCAGAGAGGCGCTCTTGTGGAGTTGGGCACCAGCCTTTCTTATGGGAGACAGGGAAGGTTCTCTATGGTGGGTAAATGAGAGCAGTTTCCTTTTGGAGACAGTAAAGTTTACAAGCCATTTCCTGCTCCAGTCGACCACCGATTGGAGGTCTTTTTCGAGATCAGCGGCCAGGTTAGTTTTGTCAGCGATGCCGGATTTATTATTGAGGCAGGAGGAAATAGTAGTGTCCTCTGCGTAGGTGCCTACTTGGGAACTGATGACATCAGGAAGATCGTTGAGGAAGATCAGAAACAGTGTAGAACCCAGGATAGGGCATTGGAGAACACCAGCGTTTGCATGAAAGGAACTGGAGGAGAATCCTTTAAGGGCGACCTTCATTTCACAGCTTGACAAGAATGATTGTATTACTTGAAACAATCGTGCTGTAATACCGTATCCTAAAAACTTACGAAGAAGACCGGCATATCAAACCCTATCAAACACTTTTGAGACATCGAGCTTCTCTGTTATTATCAAGTACTTGGTATACAAATTCAGTTATGACTGGGAACAAGCCAGCGGTAAACTGGGCAAAACGGAAACCATATAATACTTGGTTTAGATTATATCTTAGAAATGAATAAACTTTAATAGTCATCTGCATGCAATAATAAAAAAAAAAAAAAAAATATTTAAATCTGACACTTTCGATAATTCGGTTTCAAGGAAAAAACGACAATTAATTAAGACACATTGTCATATATATATATATATATATATATATATATATTTGTATTTAGGCAGGATTCAATACTTTTTTCATGCACATTTCTTCTCAAGGATTAATATTTCTTATTTAACAGTTAAAATATTTCATCCTTGGAAATGGCTAAATGTATAACCGAAATCGCTCGGAAAAAACAAACATTCGGCCAGTTTTTATATAATTTATCATCTGAAAAGAAAAAAAATATTAGATCGCATGAGAAATTGTATAAATAAATAAACAAAACACCTTGTCTGTCGTAATCAGTTAAATTATATATATATAAATTATATTAGAAATTCCAATCACCTGCCGAAATGTTGTGATAAATATGGCGACAAACATGAGGAAAATAGTACGAATAATGTAAATTATATATATAGCAAACGAAAACCAGCAAATGACATACATTTGCGAATTTCACTGATATTTATTTTGAATCGAATTTAGAATTGGTTGATTTTTTTTACGTTTTTTATTTTTTGCAGGTTATTTAAATCCAGAAAAATATTTTTAGATTGTAAGGTCTTTTGGAGATGATAATGATTGACTCATCTCTTCAATTTTCAATTACGGACATTCATTCATTACACCACCAGCTGACCTATACTTTGCTAATCAGGGAAAAATCGTCAAATTTACCAGGTATTAGCGCGTAAGTGACTATGACAAACCCGATTGGAATTGAAACTCCGCTGTCCAATCTCCAGCCGGTATCCATTATTCCACTCGCATCTTCAAACAAACAGCACGTGATATTCCCAAGCGGTCACCCATCCAAGAACTGACCGGACTGAACGTTGCTTAAATTCGGTGATCGTATGAGTTATGG